TAACCATCCTTGTGCTATTTGGGTCTCAGACACCTCAGGTTCCCTCACACAAAGATCTTGTGCACGCAAGCAAAGTATACATGTGGAGAAGACCAACAGACCAACAAGCCAGCTGTTATTGGCAAGAGGCAATAATGGTCAGGTTATGTACATTTGCCCATGTCTAAAGAACTACAGAAAACAGGAAAAGGAAGCTGCCCTCCAGCACATCCTGGGCTCCAATATCCTGGACAGCCACATTGTGTTTTGATGATTTCTCTTCCTCCTTTCCTCCACCTTTTTAGTATAACAACGAAGATGCCAGAAAAATTCATAACCAGTTTTTTTCTTTACAGTAGTTTGATATAATTTATTAATCAGGACACTCCATCCCAAAATAGAATTTGACTAGCTTTACAAGATGTACATAATACAACAGGAAAAAGAAAACAAAGCCAGATGAGATGAAGTCAGGTGCACCTGTAAGTCCAAAGAGCCTGTTTTCTTTTTTTAGAATTAGACCTTAAGTCTTAGAGCCTCCTGGAGGCCAGATAATAATTCATTTAAATTTTACTTTATTTTAATTTGCCAAAATTAAAGGGAATCAAAATCAATCACAAATGTTTAGTTTCCATAAGAATTAGTTCACCTAGAAATAGCAACTGTTTTTTGTTTGCCCGAGACACACCAGAAGGGGTTAGCATGAACTTAGCCTGGCAATTCTCATGTCTCCCAACTATTTCAGGGAAACTGCAGGAGCAGGCATGATTTGGGGACCTCAGGTGTGGTGCTGAACAGATGCTGTCCACATAGGAGTCCTCTCTTGCCCTGGCCTCTTGGGTTTTCTAAGAAGCTTCTCACCCCCACCTCCAGGGGGTGCCTTTTAGACCTCCTGCTGGTCTCTGCGACCTCCAAACAGGCTGAAGGTATGCTACAGAAGCAGTGTTTGAGGTGGAGCACAGAAGCCTGCTTCCCCTGTGTGTGTGGCCTTTGTCACTTGCCACCAAAGTTGGGCTTCCTGAGCCCCCATGACTCAAGATTTTAGCTATCAGCCCTGCCTGCAGCTCCTCTCCCTTTTGGGCTCAGACAAGCCCATAATGCCACTCCAGGACCATCTTAGAACCTTGTTTTCCTAGTCTCCCTTCCTGTTGCCTGCAACTCTTTGGGTGACACAATGATGAGGTACTTTCCTTCAATGAAAATGTGAACAATGTGACTGTAAAAGTCAAGTATTATTGTATAATGGCAGCCATGATCAGAATCATCATTACATGTAAAGATAATCTAACAGTGTCCTGGGTAGGACATCACTGTCAGTGTGAATCCCTAGTCCACTTATTCAGTGTGTATAGGTAAAATTATTTAATTGGAGTCTGCCCTTCACTATTCCAAGACTCTTGATTTAATCAAGTGGCTCTTAAAGATGCTGTCAGCTTTGAGGGTGGGAGAACTGGTCATACACCAAGAAGAACCAGGGCTTCTTGAGCTCCTGGCTTCCTTCTCAAGATGGGCTCTTGACAGAGACCAGCTGAGAGATATGACTCAGGGAAAGAAGGACCGGAGGTCATCTACCAGCTGGAGGAAGGAACAATGAAGCAAGGAAGGGGCAGGTCTTCTCCCACCTAAAATATATTCCTAGAGGTAATTCCAGTTGACAAAAAATCAGTGAGGCAGAAAATGATGCTAAAGGCATGCTAACAGTACTGCTGATGTTGAGGGTGTAAAGAGACAGCCATGGGCTGAAGGAGGATCTCTACCATCCCCAGCTTCAGGGCTCAGTTCCAATTTCAGCTGTCCTGCAAAGCCTGCCTGCTCCCCTACAGGCAGCGCTGACCCCTTAGCAAACTGGGGAAGGGGTATGAAACGGCTAAGGGCCAAGGGAGGATGAGATCCAAACTGAGATAAGTGGATGTTCCACAGGATTCATTTTGGCTTCAGGTACTGCCTCCAGTGAGAGCTCCTCAGCCATCTGGGGAACTCCAGCTCAACGGCACATGCCCTCCAGGGAGAATGTGTCTGTGGGACCAAGCCAGAGGCAGAACTGAAGTGAGACTGAATGTGTAAGGCTCCCTGGAGATGTGTGAAGGAGGCTTGTGTGTGAGCCACTGTGTACGTAAATGCACATGCTGAATGCATGAGGGAAGAGGCAGAAGATGGCTCCAGAGGGGCCCCGTGAGTCAACCAAGCAAGGCTGGCCCAGCAGGCAGCTGGGCTCCTGAAAGTCCTGGGCGGGAGACAGATCCAGAAGGCATCAACATCTATACGGTGATTAAAAAACAAAAGAGCAAGGCATGCCTTTGATAGCAGTCTGAAGCAAAACGACAAAGGACACCTGTCACACACACTTCCACTCTAGCCATCACTGCATTCATTTCAAATGCACCCCCACCACAAAGGGAGGTAGTCCTCTCCACAAAGTGATGAAACATGAACTCTTCTCGGTGGCCTGCAGGCACAAATATATCCCCACTGGGGCCCAGAACATAATGAGGCAGGAAGAGGGGAAACCTAGGGGTCCTGACTCTTCACGTTTAGCATGGTGGACAGGGGGTGAGAGGTCAGTTGCTTTACTCTGTTTTGGGGAAGGAGGATATGGAGGAACAGTCAGGCTGAGGCAGGCATGATCATAAGCTGAGTGTTGGGGCCCAGGCCTAAGAAAACACTGAGCATCTAAAGCAGCCTTGCTCCATACTTCCCTCCCTCTACCTTTGGGTCTGTTGCTTCCTGATGAGTATGTAGAAAATGGGGTCTCTTGGTCTCTACAGAGGATAGAGGGTACCAAAGGAAATGCAGCTGCTGTGGAGATGATCTCACTGTTAGCAGCTCACATAAAACACCCCCTGCCCAGGGCAACATTTGCTGCTTCCATTGTCCATTACCAGAGTCTGATCCATGGCCACATGGCCTGAGAATCTATCTATTCATCATTCTGCAGACTAAATCTACTTCTCAAGAACAAGATGTGTAAAACCAGATGTCAATTTACTCAAGCAGCAAAGACCTGCTGGAGGATGCCTAGGAGCCCCAGCAAGGTGGCAACAGTGTCACCTGGAAGGATGCTTCTTTCAAAGGAAAAGTCAGGTAGACAGAGAGGGAGGGAACACTTGCATTCAGAGTTTGCTCCTGGTTTGTGCTGCCCTTGCTGTCATGGCTGAATCCACAGCTAAGGCTTTTGAGAAAGAAGTGATAATCAGCATCAAAATTATCCACTGAAAACAGGAGATGCCAGCAGTCACAAGAACGGGGGAAGAGTGACACTTAGTGGGGAGAAGGCTAACATCTCACTTGCATACTTAGCTGAGGTTGGCTTCCATAGTGAAGGCTCCAAAAAACTCACGACTACTCTGAGAACTCAGGGTTCAGCCACAAGGGAGGCAATAGCCAAAAGATGTTAGGAGTGAAAGTGGGTAGTGGTCTAGATTTCCTTTGAGGGGCATATTCCTCCCCATTTTGGTGCTTCTCAAGTTCTGTCCTGTTCTTTGACAATGAATATAATCCCTTTCTTACTAATTACCATGCAGACATAGTTAAATCTCTAGGCCTAACCTCTCCCATAACTTCAGGCCCAGATACATAAATACACAGATGTCTATTAGATGCCTCAGGTTCAAAATTTCTCAAAGTAAACTTACAATCTTCTGCCCTCCTGCACTATCTGTGCTTCCTCCTCCTGTCCCCAATTCTGAATGACACATGCTCTACCCAGTCACCCCAGGCTTTCCCTTTTGTGGAGTCTGACTCTGAAACACTGCAACTGCATCCCCTCCTCTTCAGTGTGGCCACTGCTCTACTTCAGACCCTCGCCTTTTATCTGGAACATCACAATGTCCAGCAGTGGTCCTAAATGCAGCACATCCAAGTGCCAACTGGTAATTAGATTTTCACCTTACACATCTAAATATGTCACCCTGAGCATGATGTCCAAGCTTCACTCATACCTGACCCAGCCCCAGTCCCCCTCCAATATCAAACTCAACCCCAAAAGTGTTAAGAAGCTTATGGTTCCCACCTCCCCTCTGAATTCATGCTATTTCACACACAGTGCTTTTCACTGACTCCCTTCTCTGCTTTGGGACCCTTCCTGTTGGCCCTCACGGTACTCTACATATCATTTTATTGCAGTCACTGACATCTGCTAGTTTCAATCATGGGCTCATCCCATGGCCCCTACCTCTCAGTGATAAGGTGAGTCAGGAAAGGTCAACTGGGACAAGGTTGAAAGTGACCTTAAGTAGACTGGTTCTTGGGAAGGAGGTTCTGGAGTAGGGGAAGGGATTAAGGAATGGCTTCATTCTGTGGTAACAGCAAGACCCTACCCATATCCTCGCATGTGAATATAAAGTTCCTATCTTCAAGGTTCCAGCACATCCATTATTTGCTAGATATCACCCAAGGCCATGAAATAACCAGAGTATGAATGTCACCCCAATGTCATAGGTGGGTGTTGGGAAAGGGGTTTTCTTTTAAAATCCCATGAAAAGCAAAGTCCCTGGCCAACATTTGTAAACACTCTCAAGAAGCAATCCTGGAAGCCTCCTGTGTGTGTGCAGCCATCTCAATGGCCAGCACCGGATCAGCCTGGGGACAAGAGGGCTCAGGATAAAAAGGTGTCATGCACCTAGCTAGAGTGTGGAACTGTATTGAAATCTCTCTCCGTAGAGGACCACACAGCAACTCCTTTTACCTCAGTCTGGGTACTGGGATCAGGAATAAGAGGGGCCAAAACACAGAGATGAGTAAGCACAGGAGGGGAACCAAGTATAATGACACACAGGAATGACCCCTGGGAAAAGAAACTCTTAACCCCACTTCCTTAGCCAAAGCACTATCTCATTGGGAGACACATCACTTTGGCTACATATTTTCCCCAGTCTCAACCCACCTACATCTCTCAACCATATTACTACAAAAACGGAAACTCACCTCCAGCACTTTGATAATAGCTCAGCCTCACTCAAGGCACTATAACCAATTCAGAATATCCCAAGTCCTTTCATCTTTAGGGGTTCTTGGCTTCCATATTTGACAAAAGGATAATTTATTGAGTATCACATTTTGAGATCCTGGTACCTGAGTTACTTGTCCTAACATGAAAGGGAACTCAGTGGCACACTGAAAGCATTTCAGACCCTGGAAACACATGGATATGGCTGAATTCTGCCTCTCTCATTTTCAGATGTGTGACCAATGCAAGTAACTTAACTTTCTACAGCTCAGTTTGCTCCTGGGAAATGAGTAGGAATTTGACAGGTATCTCCTGTCATGAGGATTAAATGAGATAACACATATAAACTGCTTACCACATAGCCTGCCAAAAAGCAAATGCTCAATAAATACTGAGTTTTTTTGCTATTATTAATGATGATTTTTATAATGATGTCACTGTTGTTCCTACTCATTGCTAAGCTCATGGTGGACTACTCTCTTGGCCACTGATTTTCAGTTATGCCCCTCTCTCACCAGTCTCAAGGTTCTCCTGTGAGGATGTGCCCTGCCTGCAAAGTGCCATGTGTGAGAATCACTGCCAGGGGGATGGGCAGTGTAAAGGCACAGCAGGGTCTGAAATCACTACTCCAGGCCACTGATTTAACTCTAATCCCCTAAGCCATCAGTCTGGCTCAAATACTAAAAAAGCTCTAATGCAACAGCAGATATACGGATAGCTTGAGGATTGGGGGGGCGGGATTTAACAGGAAAAAAAACAAACTACACTTGAAAAGCAAAGTGCCTTCAAATCTGGATCCTTAGTATTTGTAATTCACTTCCAAATTACCTGGATTTTACCAAAACTTCTCTGGATATACGCCAAGCTTAAAAACTGGAAGATTTCTTTCTAGTTTAGGTCTTAAGATCTTAGGAGATATAAATATACATATATCACTCTTTTCTTGGGGGAGGGGTCTCCTATGATGCTTTGCCAACTGTATGGGTTCTCCGGTGGGCACTGAAGTGAGAGCTGTTGTTGAAGTCTTTGCCACACTCTGTACACTTATAGGGTTTCTCCCCAGTGTGGATTCTCTGGTGAATAATAAGACTGGAGCTCTGGTTAAAACATTTCCCACACTCTCTGCACTTATAGGGCTTCTCTCCCGTGTGAATTCTCTGGTGAGTGATGAGGTTAGAACGGTCCCGGAAGAACTTTCCACACTCTGGGCATTTGTAGGGCTTCTCTCCTGTGTGTACCCTCTGGTGGGTGATGAGCTTGGAACGCTCACTGAAGCATTTCCCACAGTCTACACACTTATACGGCTTTTCCCCAGTGTGGGTTCGCTGGTGGTTGGCCAGGGTGGAACTCTTACTGAAGCTTTTCCCACAATCAGCACACTCATAAGGTTTCTCTCCTGTGTGGATTCTTTGGTGACTAATGAGGGCGGAGCTCTTTGAGAAGCACCTTCTACATTCAGAGCACTGATACAGTTTCTCCCCTGCGTTGGTGCTGTGGGATATAGGAAAGCTCACGTTCATCCCAACACTGTGAGATGGCTCAGCTGTTCCCTCTGTGAAATCCATCCAGTGTGCACTAACCGATGGGCTGTGGCCAATGCTCTCCCCAGTCTCACTACACTGGTCAGGATTTCCTCCCAAATGGACTCTTTGATGTTTCAGAAGGTTTGAGCTCTGATTGAAGCTTTTCCAACATTCCCCACATTTATAGGGCTTTTCTCCCGTGTGAATTCTCTGGTGGGTGATGAGATTGGAGTGATCACTAAACCTTTTTCCACATTCAAGGCATCTGTAGGGCTTCTCTCCAGTGTGGATTCTCTGATGCGTATTGAGGTTAGAGCGGTCACTAAAGCTTTTTCCACATTCAAGGCATGTGTAGGGCTTCTCACCTGTGTGGATCCGCTGATGGGCAATGAAGTGGGAGCTCCTATTGAAGCTTTTCACACATATGTCACACTTGTAGGGTTTCTCTGCAAGGTACAAGCCTTGATGATCAATGAGCTTTTCTAAGTCCTCCTCAGAAGAACACTCTTCCCACTGTTCTTGTGGAGGATTACCCCATATCCCTTCACCTTCATTTTCATTTTCACTGTCTTCCCCCCAGTCATGCAGAGAGTAAACAGCCTCTGAAGTATATTTTGGTAAGGCTCCAGGTAAATCCTCAAAAATGTCCTGTTCTGAAACCTGCTCTTCATCCTTATGCCTCAACTCAAAACCTAAAAGAATGGACAGAAATGCAGTTTTTGTTCATTCATTAGTTACCATTTATTTACGTACCTGTATTATGTATCTGTGTCCTATGACTGTGGCCAAAATGAATCTATATCTTAAATCTCACATCTTATAAATGTGACTAATGTGAAACTGACTAAGTTTTGGGGCATACATGCATTTCTAAACCCAAACAGCTCAGTAACACAGTTTAGGACATGGTAGCCCCAAAGGAGCCATGAGGCCCAGCCCAAGCAGCCAGCCAATCAGTCTCCCCAGCCAATCAGTATTAAATAATGACTACCTCCTTCCTTCTTCTGGTACATTCAGTAGATTCTATGTCATACAAGATTGAATCAATTCCCTAATAGACCAGATGTTCCCAATAAAAGCTAGACTATATCATATGAGTAATAACCTAAAGACAATAATCTCAGCAAAACAAATCCTTTTCCTATTCAATCCCATTCTCTCTTTTAGCCCAGAGTCAAAAGATACTGAGCCTGGCTGCCCACCTTTTCACATGCCTATGGATTTTGTAGACATGTCGAGACTCCAGGCTTACCAGTGTCTGGAGTTTTAGGACATGGGGTTGGAGGTTTAATGGCATCTTCATCTGCCATCTCACTCCAGGGCTCCTGGTCATCTGTCTCAGTACTGTTCTGCCCAGACCTAGGAAGACCTGTTGCCTCCCTGACAGTCTCCATGGCTCTGACTGAAGTCCGAGCCCTCATGAGTGAGTCCAGCTCCTCATAGAAGGGGCATGTCCCTGGTGGGTGGCTGCTCTTGGCCTTCCGGTAGCTTCGAAGGAGGTTTTTGAATCTGTAGCGACATTGCTCCAGTGTTCGCAGGAAACCCAGTGCACACAGCCGCTCTGCAATGGCCCGATATACCTGGCTGTTCTGGTGACAGGTACGAAGCTTTTCAGAGAATGGGGATTCACTGAGAATTGCCAGGAAAGCCTTGGTTTCCTCGTAGCCCCAGTGCACACCTGCTGTCAGGAGTGAAGAGTTGAGGTGTAAGACTTGAGATTTGCCTGGGTCATCAGGGGTCAGGGTCACCTATCCTTCTAAACACCTGGAACACAGGCATCCCAGAAACTGTCCAAGTGGCTGGGCACATACCTTTCCTTCTCAGGGATGGACTAGAAAAGCCAGCCAGAGCATCTGCCCCACCCCTTCTAAGAGATTCTGTTAACATTTTAAGTCTCGCTGAAGGGGAGGATTTACATGGCCATACTTGTCAGTTCTATTAGTGACCCAAATTCCTTGGCTTGAGCTATCTGGTAATTGGAATCCACAAGATTTTCCCTATATCCAAGCAATACATATCCTCTACCTTCTTTATGAACTCTCCTTTAACAAACCATGAAAGCTGAAAATCCCTAAAGACCAACGATATGAGTGGATTTCAAATAATCATGGGCAGAGTCCAACTAAGGATGCCCTTTCCTCTTATGGAGGAATGAAAAGGAGACAACCTAGCCTCAGTTCTTCTTCAGGTAAGTGATGCCACCCAGGGAGGCAACATGGGGCAGGAAAACCACATGAAACTGGTAGGCATGAGACACGGGTTCTGTTCCCACCTATGTACCCTTAAACAAGATGCTTCATTTCTTGGGCTCCACAGTCTACCTTTACAATGACCAGGTATTTCCCACACATTGACTGTTCAAGTCTACACTCCCATGTTTTCTGCTCTATCTGTTCAGTATTTTACTGTCTTTTTTTTTTTTTTGGTACCAGGGATCGAACTCTTGACCTTGTGCTTGCGAGGCAGATGGCAGAACCACTGAGCTAAATCCCCAGCCCACTGTCTTTCTTTATCTAAATTTACTATCTATGAAGTTACAGGCTGATGTGCTCACATATTAAGAGAAACACGTAATCATAAGCATTAGAAGTTCACTCATGTGACACCTACAATCATCCTCAAAGGTCCCTGAAGCATTTAGAAATACTTGCTTTTATACTTGACAAGGAGACCCAGTCACAAAGAAGATGTGAATTCAAAGATGACCCCAGGAACTTAATGCTTTACTCTAGTGGCATCAATCCAGGGACCAGCAGCCTGCCTGGTAGAGGGACTGGATCTGCACCTGGTTAAACCCCCTTGTTCTTACCAATACGACTCTGGAGAAGCGCTGGGCCCCCTGCAATCCTGGCCCCCTGGGCAGACTCATCAGTAGCCAGGCCAGCATTACTATAGTCTTCTGTTGTTTCCTCAGGCTCCCAGCCCCCTTCCTCCTGCTCATCCATCTCAGCATCACTATCCCCCAGCCTGGGGAGTGTCACAGCCTCTCCTGAGCCACTTGTGGCTCTGATGGCCGTCCGAGCCCTCACCAAGGCCTCCAGCTCCTCGTAGAAGGGGCATGTCCCTGGTGGGTGACTGCTCTTGGCTTTCCGGTAATTCCGGAGGAGGTTTTTGACCCTGTAGCGACATTGTTCCAGTGTCCGCAGGAAGCCCCGTGCCCTTAACCGTTCCGAAATAGCCCGGTACACCTGGCGGTTCTGGTGACAAGTCCGAAGCTTTTCAGAGAAAGGAGACTCGCTCAAGATTGCTAGGAAAGTCTTGGTCTCCTCATAGCCCCAGTGAACACCTGACACCTTCATGTCTTCCACATCCCATTGGTATTGTTCTTCCCAGGCCCTGGAGTCCTTTAAGGCCAATGCCTGAGCTGGTTTTGTTGGTTCATTATCCAGGTTATAATCAGCAGTGCTCCTTTTCACAGAATCTATAAGGTTTACATCCCAGAATTCTGATCCTTGCTCTAGCTGGGAAGTGACACTTGGTTTCAAAACTGAAACTCCTATACAAAAGAAAGAAGACAAATGATTGAGTAGAAATGATCTATTGAGTAGCAGGTTTGTCCAAATTGTCCCTGAAATTTACATCCTTTCCTTGCAAAAGGCTGATGACAGATTCTCATGTTACTCCATTAATATGTCTGGACATTTAGGGAAAGGTAACTAGACATAATATGATCCTCACCAGAAACAGTACATGATCTATTTACTTTGCTCATTTGCTTTTTTTATTGTTATTGTTATGAAATATATCATAGGAGACAGTAACTATTACTGGTTCAGACAGACACATGACCTAAATTGACCCAAACAGACTGAGTTCCATTGTTGGGCAGCAGGGGGAGTGGGGGCAGATGACAGTATCAGGAAATTTGTGACCACCATTGCCACTAGAGTCTTTCTTGATGCTAAGTTAGCATTTCCAAGTCTGTTCCTTTAAACACTATACCCCCCAATCCAGTAGCACATGTAAAAATGGGATCTGACTGTCGAGCAAGTAGCCAACAAGCTTTTAGTATCTAACCTGACCATGCATCAAAACTGCCCAGTCTCTTCTATTTCACCCCATCCTTGTGCCTAACTCCTCACACAGTGACCCCATGGTCCCCAGGGAAATGGCTTCTTAGTTTGGCTTCCCATGCAGATATGCCTACAGAAAAAATTAGGCTGTGCTGATTATCTTAGGCTTAAGTATCTTGAGGCCTGTGATATTTATTTCTCTCTGTGGTTTAATATGTTGGTCTGGTGGACTCGGTTCACGTGAATTGCTCCTGAGAGGCAGATCTCATTTGGTATGAAGAGACCAAATTTCTGATGTAGTAAGCTGGGCCCAGCTCCTGGTCCTGGTGACTGTCCTGAGGCAGTGAAGGTGATAAACCCTGAGGAGGCGAGCTCTGGGAAACTATCTTGCTATCCTCAATCTGGACCAACTCTCTCCCTACCCTAACAGTGCTGGCTATAAAAAGAAAGTCTTTTCCCACCTCTGAAATTCCAGAGAATGCAGAGCTATAATTCTTAAGGGAGTGGCATACCACTCCTTGGAAACCACATGTATCAGAAATCAGATGTGTTCTGCTCTAGGGAAGGGCATGCTTTCCTTACCCAGACACATGCTGTTCCCACAATCATCTCCTGCAGGGTCCTTGCAGAACTCCTTCTCATCATGTTTGCCAGGGCCCAGGGCTTCCTGTGACATGCACAAGAAAAGGATCTCAAACATCACTGATCTTTGAAAACAGCCTGGAAAAGCTACAGGCCCCAGAAAAAGCAAGGGAATGTAGGGGTACCACAAGAGGGCTTAGCATCACAAGCAGCACCATGACCAAGGAGAGGCCCGGCAGACTGGGGATGGGGCAAAGGTAACGCTCTACGCCTTACGCCATGGAGTGAGGAAGAGCTGTGGATGGCAACAGCAGAATAGTATTAATATCAAGAAGGGAAGAACAAATAGCAGCTTACCTGAGACTCAGCTGTCACCTCCCAATCTCCAACACTACCCATCTTTGGAAGAGTAGGGACTCGAGGAGTGAGGACAGCTGAGGAAAACAAAAAGTCTCGGAAACTCAAGCTCTGGTTCCCAAAAGCCACCTTCGAAATTCACCTTCCCAAAAGTCACACTTGGATCAGACTGAGGCTACCCCACAGCCAGTGCAGATCTTCTCTTAATTTCCCTTCTAAGGAAGACTGGGAGCCTACACAAGTGTTTCAACAAGGCTGCCACTGTTCAAAACACATTGGATTCATAAAGAGATAAATTAGGTAAAAGTCTTGTGACAGACATTAAATAATAACTCAAAAGCATAAAATATAGGCTGTTTACCTTTTAAGTAGTTATAATCTGTAGAAGAAATGAACGACTAGACTCAATAATGATGTTTACTCTTAGGAAACAGAGCTTGTAAGCCTGACTTGTGTAGCATATGCGAAATACCTACCCTGAACCCCTGTGATTACCACCCACCTTAGTCCCACCCTGAATCTGCTGCATCTGCTGCTCCAACTGGCAGCACTGGGAACTTCCTCCTCTTTTACAATGCATTTTTTACCCTCCTTCTCAGTAAATGTGTCTGTCAGATACTATCCTGTCCCTTGCCTTGAACTCTCCACATTCTTCTCCCCATGTACTCTTCCTTACCTCTCAATCCTCTCCCTTGGAGGAAAGGCTTCATTCTCTACTGTTTCCAGATTCTTGGTACTCACCACTCTCTTTTAAGAGGTGTGATGCCATCTTGGCATTTAGATGCTTAGGGAGGTCAGAGCATAAATTCTTCACCCATTGTTTCTGAGACTGTCCCTCAGGCCTGTGATCTGCCGGCTGTAGCTGGAAGCGCTGAGATTCTTGTGCTGCCTTTAAGGGTTTGGTCTCTTCTGCACACCACTCTAGTTCCTGCACACAAATGGTCAAAATTCCCAACTGTCAGTTCAATAAGGCCCACTTCAGTAGGGCAGAGGAGGTTACTTTGAGTACAACTGTGGTCCAGGGCTTAATAACCTTATAAAGGGCTTCAAGCATGATGAGGAAATCATCAGACTGACTTCAGTAAGCAGACCAGCATTTATGCCCAAATGAGTACTGTCTTACTCAACGCTGGAAGACCATAAAGCATTTCAACAAGGCTCCCACTGATCAAAACATTTTCAATTCATAAAGAGAAAAATTACATAAAATTTCTGTGACCAATAAAACCAAATAATGGCTAAGCATGAGAAATAGGTTGTTTGGTTTTTAAGTACTATAATCTATAGAGGACCTAAGTGACTAGAATCAACAACAATCTTTACTTTCCGCCCCAGCTTCTCCAACTAGTCTATCCCTAAACAAAGATCCTGATTATATGGATGGTAATTGTAGACCAAAAAAACAGTACATTCAAGTAATAATGAGGAGGTAAAAATTCAGTAGAACAGACTTCTTGTTTCCAGTTTAGCAAGCATCCACTCCATCTTAACAAGTAACAACCTGGACAATCTGAAAAGTAAACAGTTCTTGAATCCATCAAGTGAGGTTACAAAGTATATTGCTGCTCTCAAAACTGGAGAAACTAAGACAGGTAGATTCAGAACATTACAACTTACCAGAGCAGAAACCTCTGAGAACTAGTGCCAGAGTTAGAAAAACTAAACTGTAATTGACAAACTGGGAAAGGCTCAGTGTGGACACTCCTGAGAGTTAAAAGGTCCAGGAGATTCAGTCAGTCACTGGGGAGGAGGGAGACATACAGATAAAAAGTAAAGGGGAAAATACATCAAGCTAACACTAATCAAAAGAAAGCAAGGGAATCTATATAAATTCCAGACACTGCAGACTTCAGAGCAAGACCAGTTATCAAGGATTGAAAGTGGCATTACTGGCACACAGAGGGAAGCCGCATAAAAAGATGGGCTCAGAAGGTTACCATCTGCCAGGCCAAAGAGAGAGGCCCGAAGAAACCAAATCTGCTGACACCCTGATCTGGGATTTCCAGCCTCCAGAACTGTGTAAAAATAAATTTCTGTTGTTTAAGTAAAATTAATTAATTAATTAATTAAAGTGGCATTATAAAATGATGGAGGAGTCAATACTCCAAGAAATAACAGTCCTTAATACACATAAAGGTTATACATACACTTAATTTTTCATGTTCCTAACAAAACAGCATCAAAATATTACACGTAGGCAAAAACTGACATAATGTAAGGAGAAAAAAATTAATTCACTATTATAATTGTAAACTTTAAAATCCCTCTATTAGAAATGGAAATACTAGGAGGCAGAAAATTAGTAAAGACACAGTTAAACTAAACATTCTATGAGGGGAATTAGACACATGAATCGAGTAAAAGAGAAGAGATTTAATTGACATATAAGAAGTACTTAATACAACAACAGCAGAATATACATTTTTCTCAACCTCACACAAAACATTATATGCCATACAATATTATGGGCCATAAAACACATCTTAACAAATTTAAAATAACAAGATCATACAATATCTGCTCTCAGACCACAGTGGAATTAAATTAGAAATCGGTAACAGAAAAATATGTAGCTGGAAAATCCCCAAGTACTCAGAGACTAAAAAACATATATCTTGGAGCTGGGGATTTGGCTCAGAGGTTCCGTCGCCTGTCTCGCAAGCACAAGGTCCCGTGTTCGATCCCCAGTACCAAAAAAAAAAAAAAAAAGCATATCTAAATAATACATGGGTCAAAGAAGAAACCTCAAGAAAAATTTTTATATATTTTGAACTAAATAAAAATGAAAATACAACTTACAGAAAATGTGAGATAGAGCAAAAGCAGTGCCAGTGTCTAATCAGACTAATAAAGACTGAAGACACAAATCACCAATATCAGAAATGAGAGATAGCACCACTCCCAGTGCAGAGGAAGGGGCTTCTGGGCCACTGTACCACTGCCCCCGGTGCAGAGGAGTTGAGCTGCACTGGCACCAACATCACATAAACACCTGCCCCACCTCCCCAACCCCCCAGCCGAAATGGGAAGACACATAAAAAAGTCTCAAAACCAGACTT